TAAATAGTTCTAATCTAATTTTAAAATTCTTTTCATTGAATCCCAAAATTCGGCTTGTTAAACGGTTCTAAATTCATACAAATATTGTTATAATATATGTCATATTAAGCCGTTATTTACTTTTCCAACTTTTAATCACTGAACTTGAAGTTACTTAACTTTCTTACAGACTCCATATTTAAGAAATATAAGAAATGTTAAAAAATTTATTTGTTTTCCAATACTTCTCTCACCGATATGCAATGAAACACATTTAATTTAATTAAACACATACACGTTTAATTAATCATTATCATTATGAAACATGTATACAAAAAAAAATTTCTAACTTCCTTCTATTCATCGCTTAAAAATTTTTAATGTCCTGTTCACCCATTTCTTTTTAAACTTGCATTATATATTTCTTTTTGCTATACATTAGAATTTGTATATTGTTGTATTGTATTCATCCAATTTGTATTTAAATGATAATTTTTAGAAAGTTCTTGCATCATAACTCTAGTTAACAGAAGATGTTTCTAACGTCTTCGTGTTGATGAATCGTTAGTATGCATCTTATTTTTCAGTTTAGGTTTAGGTTTCAATAAAACTATTTTTAAAGAGAGAGATGACGCTGAGTTATGCTAATAATATCTCTAACTGTCGCTATTTATAATACAAGTTAACGTGATTAATAGTATAGCTCATTTACAATTTTTATAAAAATTTTCAGCCATACCGGAAATAATAGCAAATGCTTGCTCCTAATATTTTGATTACATTTTCTTCTTCCTTTATATTTTTTGTGATATAATGTTTCATGATTGCATAGAGATAAATATAATTCATTTACCAGATATGTAAATCTATATTCAGCGCACTTTTGCGTTTACTAATATTGTACCTTCTATCTTCTTTAATATATTGTTCAACACACACAGCATCTCATAAGACTGAATTTCAAGAGCTGTGCGTTCACCAGCGATCAAGCGGTAAAGTCATTAAACATTGGTAATTTGACCGAAGTTTCAAATTCAAGAGAATGATTTGGCTGCATGACAGTTTTTCGTGGCTTTTCCTCATATGTAACGTGAGTACGAGCCAGTTTATCTTGAAAATTTGCTCCTACTAGTGACCGAATTGAAAACCGCTGTACGCTAGGTTCAATCGCAGGCGAACAAGTTGGCTGAGGCAGATATCCTTCGGGTACTTTGCCATAACATACAAACCAAGAGCTCTTTCTTTTGTGTGAATATGTAAATATTTATACTGTTATCGGGTTGTGTGAGGACGATAGTAGAGTTCTTGAGTAGTCTACATAAAGGCATTATAGTGAAATGAAATTTTAAAGTGCTAGGTTAAAATCACTGTTAATTTCGAGAAATTGGTGTGTTAATTACTGAATCCATTGCATTCGTGATTTGTAACTTGTATATATTTGTTTCAGATATTAATTAGTAATGTGTCATTCCTATTTTTTGTACTACTATGCTGAAACTGCTTTAGTATTTAGGACTGAATCATTTTCCATTAGTTTGGCTAGTTATTGTTGCAAATATTTCAAAACTGCATATTTCAGAGAATTTCTATGTAAATTTGATTATTACAGTGCAAAAATAGTGTGAATATGTAAATATTTTGAATATATAAATATATGTTATCGAGCTGTGTGAGGAAGATAATAGAGTTCTTGAGTAGTTTACATAAAGGCGTTATTGCGAATTTTAACGTGCTAGGTTAAAGTTACTGTTAGTATAGAGAAATTGGTATAACATTATTCAATCCATTGCATCGTTGATTTGTAATTTGCTTATATTTGTTTACATGAAATTTTTAATTATTTAATAATGTGTGATTACTGTTCACATTATTAAATAATTAAAAATTTCATGTAAACATTTTTGTACTGTGCTGAACTATTTTAGTGTTTTGTATTGAATCGTTTTCTATTAGTATCATTTATTAGTATGAGTAACTATTGCTGCAAATATTGAAAAATGCCTATTTCAGGGAAAATGTAAATTTGATTATTTCATTGCACCGGAGAGACAGCTACATTGGGAGGGTTCGCACGGTTTTTATCCGTGTAACTTTTGATATGTATGGTGGCTTATAAGTTAACCGCTTTCCTGTAGGTCAATAATCACAGGTATCTGCGGGAGGCCACCAGCGGCCGAGCACTGGTAGTCACTGAACACTGGTAGTTCGGTCCGAGGTTCGAATCCCGCTAACGGGCTGGCTGCATGGGTGTTTTCTTGGTTTTCCCCGTGTGTAACGTGTATACAAGTCAGTTTCCCTTAGAAAGTCCTCCACGAAGGCATCCCTTCCCTTAGGCAGATAGCCCTAGTGTGCTTTGCCATAATTAAAGACACCGTATGTCGGGCCTCCAGCGGCTGAGCGGTAAACTCTGAACACTGGTATTTCGGTCAGGGGTTAGAATCCCGGCGAATTTGCTGGCTCCATGGGCGTTTCCGTCGCTTCATTCATGCGTTATTTGCATACAAGCCAATTACTCTTCGAAAGCCCTCAGCGAAGGCGTCTCTCTTTTTAGGCAGATAGCCCTCTTATGCTTAAGTAAAGAAACTAAACAATTTGTTATGTATATTTCTTTTATAACAAAAATGGCACATAAAGAATTTCTTTCTATAAAATGGATTTTACATTTTATCTCAACCCTACCTATTTCTATGTTTATTAAAAAAAATTGAAATTTGTTAGAGAAACTTAAAGGAAATAAGTGAGGGCGGCAGTTTTAAGTTTTTGCCCCGCCTAAGAAAAATGTTGAGTCCGGCGCTAGATTCTCCATTAGCCACTGCATGGAAAAAGAGGAATGCCCCGTGGGAAAAAAAATGTAAGGGAAACTAGCTCGTATCTATGTTACACACGGGGAAAATCTCGGAAATGCTCATACACCCAGCACATTCCCATATACTTGACCCTCGGACCGAACTACTAGTGCTCAGCGGCTTTTATTGCTCAGCGGCTTTTATTGCTCAGCCACTCATGGGGCCATTGCATACAAAATATTGGCTATTGCGGAAAGGAAATATTCTGAAAAGATTATACAGAATATGGGCTATCACTGAGAATATTCGTGCTTCCTGTCTTGTTTTTCATACTTCCTATTTCACAAGTCATTTTAAGTTCTTATCTACTTTAACGCTATTAAAATCTCACGAAATTAGTAACAAAAATTAAAATTTTACTCTGCAAACCTTTTATTCTGCAAATAAGTGCATGTGATCTGCGGTTTGATTTTCGGTTGCCAGAATCGTGAGAGTTGATAAACGCCTCCTGGCTCACCGATGATCGTAGATTTTTTATTAATATGTTTTAATTTGCTGAAACTTCGATCTGAACAGGTTGAAGTCTTCGTGATTCGTCCTCAAACAGTTCATCAGATTGCTTTTTGTACTTTGGAATTTTTTCTTTCTCAGAATAGATTCAACTGCAATTTTTTCGGCCCTTATACTTAAGTGCAAGTTGGCCTTGGCCTGCCTTACGGAAATCGGCGTAAAATAAGGCTCCTATATAGAGGCTTAGAGGAGCCTTAGCGTAAAATGCTGGTACATGAGCTGATTGTGCGCATGCGCCAACGTGGGTGGTGTGAATAGCGTCTTAGCTATTCGCACCGTCGGTGCGATTAGCCACTGCGGCGGAGGATATATGCAGTCATGTTTTTTAAAGGGTAATACCCTTTAGAATCTCACCGTAAGCGGAATTTCGGCAGGGTCTAACTTTTTACTTCTTCCGTAAAGTTATTTTTTCATGTTAGCTGAAATTTGTTTTCTCTGTTTGGTTTTATTTCTGGCTCGTTTTCTATATTCCGCTTTTCTTCCTTTCAGCGCGCAGATGGTTTCTTTTAATCTAAATGAAATTCGCTATGAATTGCCTTAATTTGAATAACTAAGAATTGATGTAATTACACTGGACAGTCGCATCTCGCTAAATATAGTGCGGGTTATCATATCTTAAAAAAAAAAAAAAAAAAAAAAAAAAAAAAAAAAAAAAAAAAGAGTACAAAAGAGACCTGAAAACTAAAAAATAACCATAAAAATAATAAATCTAACTTTAAAATCCAAAATACGCTCCACTGTTCCGAGTCAAATCAAAAGTGAGCCTAAGTTGCCGACTGACTGCAAAAAAACTAAATGCCTTGTTTCATTTTGAAGACAAAATGATGGTGTCTTGTATATGCTCGACAAATATTAATTTGAATTCTTTCATTTGTCTAGGATTCCCCAACGTTGATTATTTTGGGTTAGCTCTTAGAAAATAGCTTCAATGCTTCTCCATTTCCCAGCAGACGTTGCTATGGAAATCAGGCGACTTCTTCAATAAGCTATCGTTCTATTTCTCATTGAATACACCCCGCCCAGACAGGAAACGATAGAGGGACTTCAGACGATCCTGATAGGGTCAGTCTGATTCTATCAGTGACTTTAAAAGGGATCTTAGTATTTAATTATGAATATTCTTAAAAGAGGTTTTTAAACTTGGCCTTAAAACTAGTGTTAGTTGTGAATTGAAATGTGAAAATGAGAAATATGATTGCAATAATATGAAATTTTTTGGTAAACCTGTAGGTTTAAATTACATGATTTCCCTTCTTACAAAATTTCTGTAGCACGAAAAACATTAATAACATCTTAAATTATGTTGTAGCAAAGATACATACTGTTATTTTGAAAGTTTCAAAATTGAACTTTGAGAAAAATGAGTATCAATTTAAGTTCATGTCATGCCGATTAAAAAAAAAAAAAAAGAGTACTACAGTGTCTATGTTTTCTAAATTTTGAAGAATTCTTAATCAATATTATGTATAATTTGAAGTTTTCAGGTAGCAGGTGTTCAATTTTTCAATTTTACATTACAGATATCGTAAGGGAAATAAATAGGAATATGGGAAAATGAATGGTAATTACTTATAAAGCCAGATCTGATGTTTATATAATTATTTTTGTTATTATTTCATCCGATTAGACGAATTTGGCACGAAATCGAAATCAACCGTGACCGTAGTATCTGAGTTCTTGATTCCCTGTGTTTTGTAAATATTTTGACTGTGTCAAGATGTGCATTAACGTTTACTTTAGCTATGTATTTAATTCTAACCGCATGTATGAATCATTTGTAAACGAATATTAAAGTGGAGATGTTTTCTGTACATACTAACAAGCGAGAAAGAAAAAGAAGAAAATTGTCTATGTAAATAGGCTTAGTTAAGTTGGGAATAAATCTCAAATTCAGTGTTCCATAAATGTGATTGTTATTCTTCCCACACGGAGTGTGAGTATATTACATGTAATTTTTTAAGAAAAGTACTTTTTTCAGAATATAATGGATATCAACTATTTGAACGAATCTTCTCTTCCTCCGCCTCCAGGAGTCGATCTTGACGACCAACGCCGTTATCAGAATTTCGATAATCGAACGCGGAACTCATCAAGGGACTATGATAGAGATCGACCTCGTCATGATCGAAACCGAGATTCAAGGCATGATCGTGAGAGTTATGGCAGATCTGGATCGTTTGCCGACGATCATCGAGGCTATCATGAAGGTTCGGGATATCGGGATTCCAAAGAAACGGGGGATTCTTTCCACGGCAGGAACAAAGATTATGAGAGTAGATATAACAGACGAAGTTATAGAGACAGAAGTCGTGACCGTGAGAGGGAACGTCCAAAAGACCGTTCAAGAGATCGTGACAGAGATCGAGACCGAGATCGAGATAGGGACAGAGACTGGGAGAGAGAAAAACATAGGGAACGCGATTTCAGGGATGAAATTCCGCATAGTACTATAATGGTTAAAGGAATGGCTCCTCATGTTACAGAAGATGACGTCCGAAATGAAATAAGTCGTTACTCGTTGTATCCGAAAGATGTTATTGTAATGAGAAGGAAAAACACGGGTGAGTCGAGAGGAATTGCGTATGTAGAGTTTAGAATGTTATCTGATGCAGTCAGATGGAAAGAGCTTACTCAGGGTGTTTTATATTTTGGGCAAGCACGAGCAACTCTTCATTATTTTGTACCTAAAGATGCACCTGGTCCAGATCGTTTATTAAATAAAGTAGATTGGACGTGCATAAATTGTGGACTAAATAATTTTCGTAAACGAAATTTCTGTTTTAAGTGTAACACTCCTCGAGAAGAAGCAGAGTTGAACAATATTGGTGGTGAAGGACATGAAGAAGTGAGCCTTTCTGCATCAAGCACATTACTTTTCAGAAATCTGGACATTCTCACCACTGAAGAAAGAGTTCTATCTATGCTTGGACAGATAACAGTTTTGCCAATAAAAAATCTAAAAGTTGCTAAGGATTCTCTAACAAATACTTCTCGAGGTTTTGCATATGTGGAACTTCATTCCATTTCTGAAGCTATGCAATTACATGATTTATTGGTATCCATGGCGGGAAACTTTTTTGTAGATGGACGACGAGTCACAGTTTCATATTCTCGGCGTTCACTGAGTTCTATGAACAGTGTAGGTAGTGCAAATGTAGCCAGTGCGGCCCAGGCTGCTGCTCAATGGACAAACCAAGATGCAGTATACGGAGTTAACAAAAATATGTTTTCGGATTCAGTCATTCGTGAGAGGCAAATGGAATCTGGTCAGGATCCAAATGCAGGAAATACAGATGACTATCAGAAATATTCTACACCTGATGTACAATCATATGTGTATGATGAAACCTCTGGATATTATTATGATTCTAGTACTGGTTTCTATTATGATCCCAATTCTCAATACTATTATAATTCAATAACACGGCAATATTTATATTGGGATGCTGAAAAGCAAACATATATGTCAGTGCCAGCATCTGACAGTAGTACTGCTACAACTTCAGCAGTAATTGAAGCTCCTGCTACTAAAGTAGAGCCTACAACTGATGTTATAATTTCAAGTCCACCTGTCATAGCTCATGCACCTGTGCTTACAATAAAAAAAGACACAGATCAAGAGAAGCCAAAAGAAAAGGCAAATTCTCAGGATAAAGTTAAGATAGCTAAAAAAGTTGCCAAAGATATGGAAAAATGGGCTAAAACCTTAAACCAAAAGAAAGAAAATGCTAAGACTGCAAATGTAAGCCATGTTTTTAACCAACCTGTTTCTGAAACAGCTCTTGCAGCAGCTGCCGATCCTATTTATAGTAGCATAGACAGGAAGAAATTGGATGAAACTGTTGTTGAAACATCAAAAACTGTAGCAAAGAGTTCAGAAAATGGAAAATTTTTATTTTCAGCTTCTTCAAGTAAAGAAAAATCTTCCACTGGCTTGGTAGCTGCATATGGAGGTGAAAGTGATTCAGAAGCAGAAGTGGATTTACAAGATGAAGGTACAAAGGCCTTAGATTTATTAAAACATGAAGAGTCAAAACTTATTGACTGGACCAAATTAGCTTGCCTTCTGTGTAAAAGACAGTTTCCTTCTAAAGAAGTTCTTACAAAACATATACAGCTATCTGATTTGCACAAACAAAATGTTGACATGTTAAAATTAACAAAATTGTCTCCAAGACAGTTGCAGGAATTAGAAAAGAAAGAGATAGGTTATAGAGATCGGGCCAAAGAAAGGCGAGAAAAATTTGGCCAACCAGATGTTCCACCTCCTAGCCGACTAAAAACAAAGTATTTGAAAGAACGAAAAGAAGCATTTGTTCCAGTAGAAGAACCACCTGAAGCCCTTGGTAGTGATAACATTGGCAATAAAATGCTCAAAGCTATGGGATGGACAGAAGGCCAAGGCCTAGGTAAATCAGGACAAGGTATGTCAGGTATCATTGAAGTGCAGAGACGGGTGAAATCTGCAGGTCTTGGAATGAAAGGTGCATCATTTGGAGCAAGTGCCAGTGACTCGTACAAAGATGCAGTTCGGAAAGCTATGCAAGCAAGATATAATGAAATTGCATGATGATTGGTATATAATCATGACTAAAGTGTTCCATTTTACAGAATCTTTTTTCATGAACAAAATTTTTTGAAGGAAAAGTGGTCTGTTTCATTGAATTATTTCGTGCATATGTGTTCAAATAATTATATTTTAAGATAGTGTTTTCTATTTTAAACTTAATGCTTGTTACCCAAAAATATAAATCACAGAATATTATTTTTTTGAAATTTATCACATTTAAAGCAATTATGAAAAATAGTCTTTGCTGATGATTGTGTTAATGTTTAGAAGAGCATTTAACAAATATTTATTTTGAAACCTTATTCATATTTTTAAAGATATTGATTGGAATTGTATTAAAGCCTTTTTGCTCTAAGAAGCATTTAGTTGCAATAATTCTGACTTATACCAAAATCACTGTACATATTCTTACTCATAATAATAAAAAACTTATGCTGTACTACTGAAAATTATGTCTTGAATTAATATTTCATGAAAGCATCTTAAAGGATATTTTTCTTTAGTGGCAGTTTTAAATTTTTGTGTGTGACATTTGAAAAGTAACTGAAGAGAGTGTTGAAGTTTTAAAATGCTTGTTTCATAATAAATTGTGTTAAGTGACGTATTATTTTGTTGTCTTCTGTATGTTTTTCTTCATAAAAACTTCTAAACGTTATACAGTGAAAATTGTTTAACATGAAACTGAGGGGACTGAAATATTTTTTTTGTGTTAAAGGATATTGGGAAAATATATATATATATTCAACAAAATTAAGTTTATTAGAATACATTGTATTTACATACATGCATGTATTTAATCAAAAAATCAATGAAGCAAAAACATCCACAAGAACTTAATTTAATACAAAATTTTCAAGTTTTTTGGAAAACAAAACATTTATTGAGTTTTTGGAAAAAGATCTGATATTTTTCTTTGCATTGTCTTTTTTAGCAAAAAATTTCAACAAATTTTTCGATGTCCATTTTGTTATTCATTTCACCACTGGAATGTGCGTGCAAATAACTGCTCATACTTTTCATGATGTTCCTCACTTTGGATGACATGGAAACAGGAGCTGCATTATTCATTTCATTTTCATGGTTGGAATCTGCATCGATATTTTTTTAGCTGTGAGCAAATTCCAAAATGGCTTTGTCTGACATAATTGGTGCTGTACACATATTATCGTCATGTAATGCAACTAATTCTTCCTTTGATACAGTAGCACAGTCTAATAATACAGAAACTTTCTCAAACGGTTCAAGATCCTCCTTCTCCATTTCTTCCAAAGCCACCTGATAAGATGTTTTTGTGTGGCGGCGTTTGTAGGGGTGGAGGTTGAAAGTAGCTTAGATAAACAAAATTAGCTCTTGTCATAGGCTGTTTCGAGGGTATTTCAAAGCCGAGTTAGCCAGCCTTTTTTCTACGTAATATGTGAAGTCATCTCTCTTTTATTTCACACCTCTCTTAAATCTCACCTGCACGGCTGATGTGTTCCGTATTTTGTTCATTCCCAGAAGGGAAATATTTTCGCGTTAAGCCGTTTCGTTTCGTGTTAAAAGAAACAAAATACACGAAAATATATAGTATGTCGGGTCCGTTGTATTATTTCGTCTTAACCAATATTTTGTCCTAAGCGTTTTGTGTTAAACGTATTTCACTGTATTTTTATTTATTATGTGATAAAATGATATAATAAATTAAACAGCAGTGTTTCAAAATATTCTTGATTGTACCTGTAGGACTTGTTTCATTAGGTATGTTTTACATAAAAATTAAACATTGCATAATTAGTTCTGATGTAAATTTATTTGATTTAACACTTTTTTGTGAGAATATATCATATTTTGCAGAGAAAAAGCATACAAACAAAAATTTTTCTTCTGCAATGTTATTTTATGTAAGTATTAAATAATGTTGATTATTATTTAAAGGGAATACGTTATAAAGTAAAAGTGTTTTCTTTGAGATTGAATTGTAAGTATAATGTTAAAATGATAATAAGAATAATCAAATAATTCTGATATGGATTCTAAAATACAATAAGAATGCAGTAAACTAAATTTCTACGTGCAATTTACTGGATTCTCAACATAGTTTATTTTGTTTAATAGAAAAGTAATTTTTTTAAAAAAGTATTTGTTAAAGTAATTTTTTTCCTTTCTTTGAAAGTACCAAAGCTTTTTGTACTTTATGATCAAATTTTTGGTTCAAAATTAAAAAGAACTTTGTATAGAGAAGGCAACTAAAATATTTGCAGGTTGGTAGTTGTCTTTGTAAGTGCACCAATAATTTATAAGGAACTAATGTTTGTGTATGAAAAGCTTCAAATATAGTTTATCTGTGTATTGTTAGTTGTAATAATGGGGATTAAAAACTGTATACTAACAGAAATAATTAAACTGCCTTATTTAAAGGGAGGGGAATCAAGTTTAAGAAAGCAATGATATATAAAGTTTGGTTATTTTCTCGAAGGGCTTGGAGACATAATAAATTATTATATATATATGTGTATATTTTCACATATACTTTTTTCAGTTGCATGTTTTATTAAGTTAAATATTATTAAAATGTATAATTTGTTCAATAATTATTTTTTTGGCTAAAGTGCAGAATCGCCCACTTATTTGATTGGCGTTTGGCGCTTTTTACAAGAGTAAGAAAAATTGGATTTTTATCAATTTTCTTTGACTTTTTAAGTGAAAATAGGTCAATGTGTACATGGATAAAGTCAAAAGAGTGCACAATGCCATTTTTGTGCAATTCTGGGATTTTTTTTAAGTGAAAAAAGGTCAATGTGTACATGGATACCGAGAATGTGCAATTCTTAAAAACGTGCCAAGCAGTGGGTTCTGCACTTTGCCCATTTTTTTTTTCAATATGGCTATAAATATATAAAAATTTTACTGGTACATTTCATTGTTTATTTTGCATAGTTTCTTAAATGAATACTCCACAAGTGTATGTCAGGTATTATATTCTATAAATAAAATATTTTTAATCCAGCTATTAATTTCTAGATGTTATATGAATGAAACTACCCTAAATTATTAAGTATTTAATTTTCTTTTTCTTCTGCTGCTTCCTTCCTTTTTCTTTTGCTTCGTTTTTTTTTCCATCTTCCTTTCTCCCCCCCTCCACAATCGAGTAACATAATATTATTCTGAATTGTAAAGACATTTGTTTTAAAATGTGTAATTTAAATAATAGTTGCTGAAAACAAATAGAATTTTTTGGAATAGAATTGGAGACTGGACTCATTTACTGAGTGCTTGATATATTGTCTCAGTTAAATGGATATATTATATTAATTGCCGTATAGTGTATGACAAGAATAATCTTTATTATAATGTCAGAAATATGTGAAATTATTAGTGTATAATCTGAGTGTGAATTTTAATATGAATAGATGAATTCTGTAATAAAGGTAACTTTCAGTTAGTATGATATGAATCGTAGAGACTGGAGTAAATAATTGGTGTAATGGGGGGGGATATTTTTATTGGAATGCATTCATAATGGTAACATTTTTATTACAAGTTCTTCAAGAAAGCAACCTTCACAAGGATCCTATGTCATAAAAGCGCTAAGCATGTTTATTCAATTTTACCACTTTTGGCTTAGACAGCATCCTTCACAAGAGTTCCTTGGCATAAAGGTGCCCATTATATTATGAAGAATTGTTTGTAATTTCACAAGGATGAATTAAAAAAAAAACATCTTCATAAAGGCATTTATGTTAAATGCTTTTATACAGGGGCACTCTTTTGAAGGTTGTTATCTGAACAAAACATGGTTATTGTGGAGTTGAGTTATCCATGTTAATAATGAGATGAAAAACTTTTTCTAAGCTAAGGTGCCTCTATGAAGCGGAATTGTTTTTGTTTACCTGTGGAATATAAGGTCTTCATCATTTTAATGAAAAGTATTGAATGTAATTTATCTTAAAATGAAATTATTAATCATTTCTATGAATAGCTAATTATGTACAGTAAACCCTTGCCAAGCATGGGGAGTACATCATTAATACATTGTGCTTATGGCAAAATTGCATTCTGCAAAGAACTTGCTATGCAGACAACATGATAGGTATAATTCAGATGAAGAAAGTATGTATAAGTTAAACAAACCTAAATGTTGTTATTAATAAAAAAGAAAAAAGGAAACAAATGTTGATTGAAAAGGTTTTCATTACTGCTTAATAAGTATGTGATGCAATTTTTTAAAAAGCTCGTCATTTTTGCTTGAAACAAGGACTGATATAACTCTAAAAGTTTCATGGTAAAAAATGCTGAGGTTTTCAGTACCTGTCATAAAGTGTTAGTCAATCTTACTTGCAAAATCCGACAGTTTTTGTGCCTCTTCTAATAATTTGTTTAAGGTCCTAAATTTTCTTTATTATCATTGTTTTCATGCCTGCTGGTATTAAAATATTCATTATTTCTTGATTAATTCTTTGACGTCTTCTTCCATACCTCAGATTTCTTTCTTATTACTTGCTTTTGCGAGTTTGTTAGATTTCTTTGGCTTTATTTTAACTTCTGGCCAGAGCTTATGCAAACAAGCATTCAGTGTTAATGGATGAATGTTGAATTGTGTATGAAAAAGCTTCTAGTTTTGAGAAAATTAAATGAAAAACACGAATATGCACAAGTACAAAATCGTAGTCTGCACTTGGCAAGAATTTACTGTACTTGAAAATGTTCGTGGAAGATGAACTTTTATTTATGGGTCTGGAGAACAAGTCATATTATTGCATGTAAAATGATAACCATGTCATGTAATGTTAATTGCTGAGTTTATAAGGCAATATTTTTTTTATCTTTAAAGATAATGTAAACAAAGAAATATTCAGATTTTCCAATAAGGAAAGATCAATAAATTATTTAATGAATTTTTGCTTTTTTTTAAAGACACATTTACATATAATGGCAATTACATTTGGAGGAGTATAAGAGAAAGAGGAATTCACAATATTGTTTTTATAATATTATTTAGTATATTTCTCATATTATTTCATAATATTATTTTAGTATATTTCTCAATTATTGATTAATTTTTTTGGGGTATGAGGATTGCTGTAACAATTGCTGGTAACATTTGCATATTATTAGTGACAAGTTTTCTTTTTTGAAATTGCTACTTTATTTCATTATCATCGTCAAATGAATTTTATACTTAAGATTAACCTGTTATTTTTATTTGATTAATATTAAAAAAGTATAATAAAAATACTGTATTACTTTTTTATTAAAAATAGTTAAGTTAGACTTCTGATTCAGTATCATGAAAATATTTGGTATTAAAATAAATAAATAAAAACTGCGGTCATCTGCACCCCTGCTGAAATGTCACAAATTCATTGGCAGTTTTGGAGAGCATTCATAAATTCAATGGCAACTAATTTTTTGCCAAGCGTGAAAGATAACAGCCATTTCAAAATGGCAATGCCCTAAAAATTCCATATAAAAGCAATCAATTAATAAATTAAACTAAGAAACATCACTAATAAAGCACTTACCTATTTCAAGGAATCTTTCTTTCTTTCTTTCTTTTTTTTTTTTTTTTTGTACTGGCATCTGTAAATTTCAGTGTTGTCCACTATCTGAAACAAATATGCTACATGTATATCTGAGTTGCCTTATAAATACTCATAACATGAGACTTGCATGGGTTGCCATGTAACTATTTTGGTGATATACTGCTTTGGCTCATGATCACTTTTTAATGACTTTTTGACAGGGCTGCAGATAATCTGAAAGTACCAAAAACTGTAATGCTACAAGTTCTTTTGCTTAAATCCATTTTTGTTTTAAGTAATATGTGAAAGATGAACATAAATTGACATTTTAGCTTAATTAATGTTTCATATTAGATTCACACCAAATCTGATATTGTTTTTCCCAAATGGGATAAAATTTTTATGATACTTACAGTATGTTTTGGTAAAAATTCATGGTTAAAAACAACAGTGCATGAACATTTATCATGTTATCTCTTAATAATTGTATTAATGTTGGAGGCTGATATTTTGATTGCACTGCGCGATGCTTATTTATCTTAGATTTAGAATGAGTATTTTCTATGTCAGAGAATTTGTGATGTATGTATTTATTGCAGTTAATATTTCTTCATGCTCAAGTATAACTTAGGTTAATATCAATCTCTATAAATGGATATTTAAATTTTAAAATATTGAATGCTTCTTTACAAAATACAATATGTATTGTAATTTATTACTTTATTTTTATAATAATGATATGTTTAATCTTCTATTAAGAGGATAAGGTACTTACGATTATTAATATCATCTCAGGAAGGTGTCAAAATATGTTGAAGGTTTGTCTGGCAATCATTATATATGCATCTTTTGCTGAATCATGCTTTACTTTTCTGTTAATGAGGTACTACTTTGCATCAAACGTAAACATTGTCTTGAAATCTAAATAAATGGGAACAGTTCTATCAATCTGTAAAGCCTTATGAAAAAAGAAAAACTTGTAATAATAGTAATATATAATATAATATATATAATGTTTAATATATGTAATTCCAAATTTGTGTGCAGTACTGAATTTGTGCATTGCAATTTTCTGATTTTTTTAAGTAAAAAAACAGACTATAGTGTACATGGGAAGAACTTGCTCTTCCCATGTGTACATCAGTCTGTTTTCACTTAAACATTAGAGAATTGCATAAATTTGGCATTATGCACATTTGGCTACCACATTTATAACACATAATGTAAACACAACATTAACAGGCCACCACATTTGGTGACTGCTGTCCCATTAGTAGTACTTTTTATGTGCAAATAAAGAGTATTATATTAAAAAAAAATATATAATTATTTCACAATAGTTTTCACACTTTTAACCATACATTAGTCATATCTATATATGGTGACTTTTCCTGTTATAAGGCAACAATTTTTAATTTGGCAACAAAGCCTTTCTGATATGATGCTATTTTTGGGAAGTATTGAGAATAATTTCAATATATGTTATGCTATCTGATCATTGAAATAGTATGTTTTGATCTATGATTTATTATTGCCTGAAGATTTTTTTAAAAATAATTTTTATTTTGCTACTGAGATGTTTTTTCATTTATACAAATGAAGAAGAGGAGGATCAGAGGCTTAACAGAGAAGACCAATAAAAGGCACTATCTGTTGAGTGCAGTTTTATAACTACAGTAGGGTTATGATATGGCATTGTTGGAAGTTTATTGCTTATAGAAAGAACTCGCTTTCATGATGATATTGTGTAAAAATATATTATATATATTAAAAAAGTATGTTTCAGATTTTTCTTTAAGCTTCTTGCATATTGGCCTAAAAAAAATAATTTAACTCAAAACTGGCATTGTAATTGTAACTGGCAAAGTAATTGGCATTACTTTGGATGTATAGATACAAATTAATATTGGATTTTTTTATGACTTATAAAGACAGTATTCTTGCTTATCCGAAGCTCGAAGTATATCTGCAGCATTATATTGAATGT